ATAAAACTGACAAGTATTTATTTTTCCACTGAAGAAGGATGGTCAATGGGGGAATGAAAAACTAATTTACTTTATAAAGACCTCATCAGTGAACTAGGCCAGTATTTGGCAATCTGCTGAACATATAACACCATTCCGTGAGTAGAATAACATTCTGCTCTCAGCTAAAAAAGCAACGGATTTGTGGCATAATTTAAAACACCAATCACAGCTACAATCATCATGTTTTGGTTAAAACCATTGTAATAAAAAATATATATTTTTGACTAAAGTTTTGTGTTGTGGTAAGGTCAAACAAATCTGACTGTCATTTATGATTGACTGGTTTTGCTCACCACATAGTGAAACAGACCACATAGTTAAGATTAATGTTCGTTAAAAAAATGTACGCTTCAGAGAAATTTGTGAGTTAATTGGTTCACAATTCTCGTAAAGCCAACATATCAAATGACGTCATAGCAATGTCATGTCACGCAACGTTGATCAATTTCAGATTCCAAAAAATTCCTCGGAAAACATTTAAAAGACCTTCTATTTAGATGGTATACTACCTTTGTTTTGTTAATGATCTACAAAGAAAAACGCATACCTCTATCAATCACTCCATCCTCAAAAGCTCTCTGTTTTCTACGTTCCCGTTCGCATAGAGCTCTGGTCTTGGTAGCTAAAATATGTAGAAGATGGGTACCACACAACTGCATTAAACCCAACATATAATTTGCTTTAGTCCAGTAGGTACTCCCTGAAAACCATTCCATGTAATCCTCTACTGTCTGTGATAATTCTTCTTCGTTCAAAGCGTGATTTGTCGGTGCGCTAGAACCATCAATGACCAAACTCGGTTTACTCCTTGATCGCATGTAGGTGAAGTCTTTGTACTGAAACGATTGTAGCAAAGAAGTGATATACTCGAACAAATCCATAGAATCAAATCGTTGGACGAGACCCAGTAGGTATTTTCTTTTGACGGGTTCCCCACAACGACAAAACCATTCCTTCGTATGATTCAGTTTCACGCCTAAACAACAGTTCTCGCAAACTCCACACGATTTTACGGGGCTGTTAATGCAGCGTAGTTCAGGTGCTCTGCTAATACTAAGCTGATATAAACTGGATCCTCGACCTGGTTGACGCATTCTTGGTTTAGAGAAGATCTCTATGGCAAAAATAATGGGAAATTAATACTGTATCTTTCTAGAGATTAATCAATTAGCTTTTGCTTCCATTTTAACAGCAGTCATCAACTGTCCTTTTGTGTGATACAACAATCACGAGTCCGTAACCTAGCAACACATGGCGCGGCGGCATCAGATAACAAAGATACGTCAGGTCACTGAGTTCGCTTCTAAGAAATATTGTAGATTATATCAAGGCCTTTTATCGAATTTATCTTCACAATGCAATTCTTATCATTACTTACGTTTTCTTGTTATCATTATTTTTTAGAGGGAAAAGAATGGAAATGTTATCGAGACAGACCTAATTTGCGCTAACAGTTCACCAGATGTTTCTTTCTGATGACAATTCATCCTCCTCACTAATAACTGTTTAGGCTTTTTTCCGATTTTCTATTTTTTTACGATACATTTTTTAACACCTTTCGCATAATTCATGGTTGGTCCTTCAATATGATGTCTCAGTACGAACATTTAAGACATCTAAAAAGTCTTTCACAGGAAAAAGTCTGTGGAAATCCATTGCATATTTAACAAGTATATTCTTTGTTGTTCTGTTCAGTAATGCAGATCACAGCAAACAAGTGTCTTTTAAGGATCAGCCGTCGTCTATGCATCTGTCTTGCAATAGATTATAAGTAAGAACCATTCAAAGTTCAAGATATATCTTCACTCCAATTTGTCCTTTCATCACTCTGATTCTCGGCGCGAAAATCGAGGAGAGGGGTCCTACCATATAAAAGGTAGTCTTTGCCTGAAACTCTTTGGAACTAACACTGTTTGTCTGGATCTGGTGAAAGGCAAATCTTCAGAATCCCAACTCTCTTGATCAAATGTCGTTTTGCCCAACTAACATAGGTATAATATTCGTAATATCTTTTATTTCAATAAACTAATTCCCGATTTAACGTAAGAATAATGATTTAAAATACTTTTTAGTTCATATAATGAACATTTTTCTTGTTTTTGGTTTTTTTACTCATTCAATTAGATTTTTTTCTGTAGTTAAAGCAGGTCAAGAAAAGGCATACATCAACATTTTTTGATGTTGTGTTAAACTTTCTTGCCAAATGAAGTACGCATGTATGTTAATGTGAGAACTTGGATACGTTTAATAGGTTTTTGTGAGAATTAACATTTCATGTGTTTTGTCCAAGGAACACTCCCGTCTCTAAAGACTCCTTGTCAAGCACCTAAAAGCTTAAAGCCGGAACACGAAGATCTCGAACCAACCCATGATGCGGCGCTCAGTTTGATAAACAAGCTAACTTCTGTTTGGATGTTGCTAAAACATGTTGTAGTAATTCATATTCCTAGCAAAACCGGAGTAAAATGGATAAACGTTTGCTTGCCTGCAAAACAGTTGTACATTTTTGCGTTTTTCAGGCAAACAGAGGCAAGCGCAAAGTGAGCGTGAGGCGTGAGTCATGCGCAAGGGGACTAGGAGCCTTGCGCATGACTAAGGCTTCGCGTTATTAGGCTCGCACTTGCCTCTGTACGCCTGAGACACACACATACACAAATAAAAAATACGCCTGTTCTACAGGCTAACGGTTTACTTAAAGCTAGTCCCATATTTGTTCGCTTTAAGATAGCTTTTATCTCACTACGCCACATTTTGCACAATTTTTATTTTATTCATTGTGTCTCATTCTTCATTTATTTGAAATCCAGTTTCCTGTAGTTCGTTTCAGCGGTGCCGTTTGTATGAAATATACTATTCAACATATCTTCAAATCCGTTTTAAAAGGATTAGCTAAATATTCATTACAATAAACGATGCATAAAACAGAGATATTTGGAAGAAAATAACAAATTCTTCCTCTTGCCACGCTTTTCTTTGTAATGGCCGTAGATAATAAATAAGATAAGATTATCTAATTGTACTTTCACTTTCCTTATACCATTCCTGATTCCAAATGTTTTATAAACGGTAAAGGAAGTTACTTTCAGTGGTGACTTTTAGACAATTAATCATTGTCGGAGTTCTTCGATGAAAACCTTTCCGTAGAACTGCTTTTGTTTCAATCAATTTTTCATTTAGAGATCGAAGTAAATTCAACACCTGTTTGCCATTAGCAACTAGTGGTGTTAATATAAAAATGAACAGTATTGAAAATTGATTTTATCTCGTAGAATGACCTCTGATCTGAGTGATTAAAGGAAAGTCCTAGTAAATGATTAAAATAATTAGTTACATTTTTATAGCTGGTATTTATATACCCGTATATCCCCAAAGCTCCTGTCGTTTTAGTGTTCTGAATCAGTCAAAGTATTCAAAAGAAAAGAGAAACGGATCAAAGCTGGATTAAGGGCAAAATCGACCAGTTAGACATTGGAATATTCAATTTATCTAAACTGGCTTCAAGGGAAACTGCCTTAGAAGGATTAACTCCTGCATACACCGGATTCGGCAAAGAAACTAATTACCACTGAATTTATCATTAAAACAAAAAAAGGAACATCTTTTTATTTTACGTTTCACAATTATGGAGTTGCTTGTGACTTTGGCCAACCTCGTCGCTGACCGATTGTCGGATAGGGATGGGTCAGACTTCAAACGTACACTTGAGCGTTTTTGCAGCCCAGTGTTCTGTTAAATTATTTGTTAGTGTTTATCCGTTAATGAGCAGAAGCCGAGTTAACTGGGTTGCTGTAAAACTAGAAGCATGAATGATATCTAACGAATTGAATATCAGAAGTTTCCAAGCAAACATGTCTACACAGTGGGTCTAAAAAACTGAAGGGGAAAAGAGTCAGAGCCGAGAATCGAGGTATTTTCCTGTCCTACGGCCCGCTATGGTTATTAACATTAATGAGCTTGAGTGTTTTATGACTAGTGTTGTCAATAAATGGTCATTAGGCTGCCAAAAAAAGAAATGGTGTTACCTTCTGGAATGACTTCAAGTGTTGTCATTTTGGAAGAGTCTCGAGATAGGCACAGTTTGGTGGTCTCAGCGGCCGAACTGTTTCTGAACTGTTTCCTATTTTCGCTTTGAATCAGTTGTCGTTCGTTTTGGAATTATTAGCATAAAAGTGTCTTTGTTGATTCTAGTTGTTATGGCGTCCTTATCGTTATTCCAAATCCTATGGGACTATTTATCTTGATGACGAGTGCATAAGTGCCGTGGTTTTTATCCCGGTTAAGTTATTTGTACACATCGGCTTTCAGAATGGCCAATAACAAAGAGCACTTCTGGGTCAATTGTTAATTTCGCACTCACATCCTTAAGTCACTTTAGTATTGTCTTGATTAGTTTGAACAGCTGAAAGCTAGAACACTTGTTATTGAATATGCTTTTCAGAATATTAAAACATGGGTCTTAGTGCGACGAATATTGGGTCAATAGAGCAGGCTTAGATTGGCTTGAGAAGGCATAAAAACTGCCTCCGTCCTTTTTTTCCATTTATTTTTATTTCAGTAAATTAATATTTAGAAATAATTCTAGCAAGTTTTCTTTTATTTTGAACATGTGACAATTTTGTGCTCTATCTCATTAAAAATTGAATATTTACCTAAAAAAGCGACAAAATAATCGTCACATCACCGCCTTGCTAAGCTTAATGGTGATATTTTCAGTCTCATCTTTATTCATTTCGCGCACCAAAATTTTACTCATTCAAGATTAACCTGATCGCTTTATCTTAGATTTGACATAATATTCCCACTCCCTTTGTGAATATTAATGAGGCGGAAGAGTGCGTTATGCTATTCGTGAAATTTTGAGTTACGCGCGTTTCCGCGGGAGCGTAGCAACGTGACGAGACAATGGGTAAACATGACAACCTGGAGTCCCGGATGAAAATTAAGAAAGTGCTAAGGAAGAAAGTCAGAGTCAAGCGTAGAAACTTTTGCCTTATGTGCAAATACGTTTTGAACTAGACATCCTGGCTTTAACACAGGATGTAAATACTCTCTAAATTATTGTGATAAGGAGGTGATTGCGCAGTTGGCTAAATTGCGGATTAACGAACAAGGGTAAATCGAAATTGATATACACTTCGAGGACTTCTGTTATTAGCCTCTTCGATTCCTCGAGATAATTGAGCATCCTTCAAAATGCAACGCGTGAAGGCAAGTACAACTAACAGACTGCAGAGTGAAGTGGCCGTTTCATGCATCCTAGTTATTTTCAAGCTGTGTCTAAATGTTTTTATAACTTTAATCTCAGTATGCCGACAGTGGCGTCTTCAGTTGCTCACAGACTCGCGGCTTACCGGGGTTGCCTCCTTTACCGCCATCTCACGAAACGCCTTCAGAATTATATCAGGTAGGTTTTATTTTATACAGCTGCTGCAAATTGATGGAGAGATTACCGATGTTTTTAAGAAGTCAACGTTGGTAAATTAATTAAGCCAGGCCAGCTGCTTCGATCATCAAAACATATTGTTTTGTTTCCCAGATCTCACTGGTAGTGAATCATCATAACATTGTAGTTGCGTGGTAAAAGATATACTTAATTAGTCTCTTCATTCATAATTTATCTGATTCGGAAAGTCGCGATTTTTTCTCCATCCGTTACCATGCAAGCCATAAATTATATTAGAGAGAAGAGAAACGAACAGATAAAGAAAGATCTGTGGTTGACGAATCAACGGATCCTAAAACAGGTAACTGTGTGGTGTAAATTTCGGATTATTTGCAAATTATCGGACGATGTATGATTACCAACTTTGTTTATTTTAAATCTCCGTTTGTTTACTTGACTAACTTTCACAACATAGCACATTTATAAAATGATTTTGTGATATAAGGCGATCGAAAATCATTTGCACAACTGCACAATTTCTTTGATTTTCTACGTGCAAAATGTAAATAAAAACTAATGGAAAGATCACTAGGAACATTTAACATAAATGTCGCTTGAACTCGGGATCAATTGAAACAATATCATACAAGTGATTTTTTTTGTTTCATATTATCTAAAGTGATTCAAATCAATAAATGCATAAATAGATTAACAAATATACACACAAAAATCATCCAGGAATGTAATAATAAATACGTGATATTAACCATTTAACTCCTAGAGGTGATTAAAATGTAACTACTCCCTGTAATATTCATAGACCATGGAGCAAATAGGTAATGAGAATAATCAAAATTGTTATCTTGATCTAACATCAAATTCTCAGCACTAATTTACAAGGAAATATCTAGAAGCTAGAGGGGAGAATTAACAATCAGATCTTGAAAGTTAATGGGTTGAAAAATAGTCACATTATGGCATACAAATAGGATGGTAAGTGATAAAAATTGCTATTTACAAGTAAACTGCAATTGAGGTCAGACTTTCATCTGATTAAAACTGTGCCTAGTTCCTATTTCCTTGATGGAGTTCACACCAGCTAAGCTCTGATGGCACATGTTGCATGAGACTGGGCAAATTTCATTTCTCTTTGTAAAGTTTAAGATAGAGGAAATAGTCACTATTGTTACATCATTTTTATTGGTTACATGTAATCCTCCAATTGATATATTAACCTTTTAATCTTCTAGAGTGATAAACATCCAGACACCCCTGAATCAAACACAAAGGTCTCCAAAATAGATTAAATGATCATCAGCTCCAGAAGCTCTTGATTATTAAACAGATTCTCTTTGTCAGCACCTCAGGAAATGTATAGAGAACAGTATGGAGAATTTGCATGGTGATATCAAGGTGTACAGGGTTTCATGGCATGAATGATACCCAGAATTTGAAAATTTTTTTTGAAAGTCAGCACTTATCTGTTGGTTGTAGATTGTGTTACGTCACAGTGAGCATCCCCCTATAATGAAGGATCCCTCCTGGACCAGAGCGGCACCCTTCAAAGAGACAGCCCATGCTAGGACGCCTAGTGAATCAATTGGTAATAACTACACACCAACAGCAAGCAGCCTGAAGATTAGAAATTTAGCCAAAGTACAGCCTCCAGTCAGACCACCTTCAAGAATTCCAGCACAGCAAGGTTGTATCCTTCAGAAAAAAATATGATTTTCAATTGTCTTAAATATGGAACTATTTTAATTAAGCTATAAGAGACTCAGTGGCAGAGAGCTGCTAGTAAGAGATGATAACTAGCTAAAAGAAGTTCTCTATCTTTGTCACTCAATGGGAGGTTAAAACCGAGAGTGTTAGTACCAAGAAGTAAGTTACTTTATGGACCAGTCATTGACTTAAAGCTATGAATAAAATTTATGTACATGATTTGTACGGTCCTTGATGTGTTAACAGCTAAAGAACCAACATCACCTAGGAAAAGACCTGTTGTGGGTCCACATGCCAGAAGTAAATCAGAAGGAGAAAAACCTCTGTAAGTTCATAGAAAAGTTTTTTTTTTGTACAAATGATCTGCTCCATTTTGTGGAAGGCTCATAACAGATTCTCTCTTGTCCCTTTGCCTAGCAAATGAAGCATTTTCTTGATTGGACAATGGAGCTGATAATTTGTGATATTATTTAATTTAAACACAAGAAGTTTTCTTTTTGGATTCATACAGATTACCACCCAGCCGAGCCATGACTCCAGCAGAGCAGTTGGATATCATAAGATCCTGTGAAGTTGTAGAAAGTGTGGATGAAGGGGAAGTATCTAAGCGTGACTTAGAGGTAACTCACAGGTTTTTGATTGGTTACTATTAACAAAACAAATAAATGTCTAAAGCCTGCCCTTGAAGCTTACAACAGTGTCCTCACAGTTAGACATAATGTTTGGAAGGAAGAATTTGGCAAAATGTTCCAGGATAATTTACATAGTGATCAGGCTGCTTGGTTATATAGATAACCCTTCCATCCATTTTATAAGTTACTTACATACATAAGTTAATGACTGTTCATTTGTACAGCGTTACCAGTACTACATTTCCCGTGGAGTACCTGATCACTCCCTCGCAGCACAGGATCAAGAAATAATGGAGAGAATAGTGCAAAAAAGAATCCCTGATAAACTAGCAAGAAATGCTGAACTTGATCCGCTTATAACAAAACTCAAGCAAGAAGTTGGCGGAGACTATGACTTCAGTGTACGCAAGTCTATTGGTGAGTTCAAGGGAGATTAGAGTTATACAGTCAAATTTGTACCCAAATAGTCTTAGTGCACTACACAATCAACAGTTTTTCTCAGTATAACACTGTAACTGGTAAAATGCCATCTTCTTTTGATGAACAATAATTGTTAATTTTTTTGGTCTTGCAGTTGACTATATTCTCATGGATCCTAGTGAAAGACAAAGACTACACATCAAAGAAATACCAAAACCTTTTCCTCAGAGGTACCTATTCCACTGGATTGACTTTGTGTCTAAAAATGAATATTGAATTATAGTAATGATTGAAATTGAGAGGAATAATGTAACTTCAACCTAAAAAGGTGCTGTTCATCCCAGTTACTTAACACAAATTGTTGGTAATTGTGAAGAAATTTAGGGAACAAACTCAGTTTTACAGCATAGATTTAGGCAGGCTGAGGAGTTGAGTATGACTTGCTGAAGTGACCAGTTCATAATATTGTAACTGAAAATAGTATGCTGAGTATTTATTCCACCTTAAAATAGCTGTATACATGTTAATGCATAATCAAAAGCATAACATATAATTGCTTCTGGCATAATGCAATGTGTTAAGCAACACAGCTCCTATGAATGTCCTTGGGTTCCATACCTCACAAGTGTGAAGAACTCCTTCATTCATCATTCTTTTAGTCATTCGTACAATCTGAATGTGAAACTACATGTGCACACTTGTCTGATGGTTTGACACAGGCTATACACAGGTCAGGCTATTAGAAGAATGACACCAAATTTTTGATGATTAAATTTTATTTTGAACAATATATACTTGTAGGACTGTTAGAGCTCCTGTTCCATGGCACAATTCATATCGATTGGCGAAAGAGGCCTGTACAAAGAACTTGTTTATCACCAACCCAGTGATGATGAAGATTCAGAACCTCTGGTATGACAGGTATGTGAGTTAAATTGTCATCATTTATATAATTATCTTCCTTTTACTGATGATAGATATGGGGTCTATATACACATATCTTTTCAATTGTCTCACAATCCTTTCTTTTACTTTTTTTCCTTCAGTTTCTCCGAGGTGCGTTTTGTGGATGGAGACCAGCTACTTGCATCAGGGCTTCCTGTTACACCGGCAGAGTTTGAATTGCTTGTTAAACAGCAGTGTGCAAAGACAAGAGAATTCCTTAAAAGAACGTAAGTAATGGCAGCATCAGCAATAGTTTCTCCTCTAACATATTGTATTTTAAGTTGTTGTTTTGTATTCAGTATTAAACCACAAACCAAGTTTTAGAGGCTAATTTATCCTAGGGACTTATCCATCCCAAAAGGGACTCATCTACAAGACCCAATTCCCTGGGACTTATTCCCTGGGACTAACTTCTGCTATCTTTGGCATGAAGCAAATTGAAGTCTGTATATGTATTCTCCCTATGGATGATATCTGAGGTCATGATAGGTAATAACTGCGTGGTATTTTTTTTGATTTCCCATTTCTTCACAGTTGAATTAACATTATAATCATATTTTTGACCTTCTAATGATGTAAAAGAAATGAAATAAACCCTGTAAGTGACCTACAGTTTAAAAAATTAAAGAAAAAAAGCCTGAAAAATTTAGGCTTTGATGAGATTAGAACCTGTACCACCTAGATACAGGTACTAAGTGAGAGTTCCCAACTAAGCAAAGCAGCCTTGCAGTGAGAGTGGGTCAAAATAAAATAAGTTGGCCTCACTCCCAACTTCAAGGATCATTTTGCTTTTTTTTCCTTTACCATTTGGTGTAACTTATTTATGTTCCAGGGTGGAGACATGCATGGTAAGAGACTGAACACTGAAATCCAGACCTCTCAAACTGGAATCCAGTACAGTTAAACCTCTGACCCATTGCATGTTCCACCAATTTTAATCAATGCTTGTACAGTTTGGTGGCTTTTATATTGACTACATGTACTGTGAGATTGGATAATTCAAAGAAGTTTTTCTTTATACTTGAAACTAGATGGATTCCTGCTTGTGCCAAAATCCTTATTGAACAACGCCAGGAGTGGATGCACTTAGTGCCAAGTTCTGAGGGTGAATCTGCTACTCTTGTGCAGCAGTTCTTTGCATGTCTTGCGGCTCTCATGTCAACACAACTTCGAAGTTTAGTCATCAATTCCCTTGCAGACTTTGTCAGGTTTCTAAGCATGTACAAGGTAAATGACATTCAGAGTAAATGAAAAATTTACAGATAAAAAGAAAATCTGACAACCTCTTATATAACTTCCCAGCTTAGTTGTCAATGCTTACATGCATCTGAATTAGTGTTTACAGCCATGTTAATGTGCAAGAATGGTATAATTTCAACTTATGATTGAGGATAAAGAAGCTTTGAAGGCTCGTAATAAAGCCTGCCAAGAGGCTTATAAAATCTATAGCATCTGCCACTGATTTTCCTTAATAAAGGCAATGACCAATCACAGGGTGTACAGTTTTTAGTTCATTGTATGAATATTACTGGAAATTCTCTTCAAAGGCTGTTCCTAATCTCCTCTGGTTTTTATTTTTTTCACTAAAAATAAGTTTTTTATGTTTTAAAAAATCCCTTCCTTTCAAGACTCGTGTTACTTATTTCATGAATTGGTAAATGTATTTTTACCAATGTACCTCAGAAGAGCGTTACATGAAATTATATAATTTGTTTATAATTATTTAACAACATACTTCTTATTTAGGATGGGAATGACTTTGGAGAAAATTACTCAGACCTTCGATATGTCATGACTGAGGTGAGCTGAGATTTTTTTCCCTTTTAAATTCTATTGAATGGTTATGAAAATTTTTCATGATCTGTTTTATGAAAGGTGTAATTCAACAACCCAGAGCTTAGACTATAAAATTCTGTTTTTTTTTTTGACTAGATTATGATTGTTCAGCTGAAAATTGACAGTGGAAAGTTGACATTTGATCCTCCGTTCAGAGAGTTACGGGATATCTTGCTCAGACTGCTGACAGACATTGTTCAAAATGCTGAAGACCTACCTAGGGTAAGTAGAAAATGTTGTGCAGGGATAAAAAGGTGTGGTGGTCATGGCATGAAGAAGTAGGTGAAGATGGAAGATGGAAGGTGAAGATTGAAGCCCTGGCCAGGTCATTTTGCTTGTCCTCTCTACCACAGCACTCTATTCTTTATACTGACAACAATGACTTTCCACTTAGCCTCATCCTCGCGCTATAATTTCGTTACCAGATCATTGAACCACAAGAACTCAAAAGTGGTGTATTGTATTATGAAAACATGGGTGTTTTGTTGAAATGCACTGTTTATGCACCTTATCGATAATAACATGTTTTCCTCTCCTCCTAGGTTGAAATTGAACTATTTCCTGACATGAAAGACAAAAAGCTTTTTCTGCGCTCTGTACATGTTGATGAAGCTCTTGTTCAGGACTACATGGATCAGGCCGTTGATATCTTTAAACTCAACACTGTTGGACCTCAAAAGTATGTGCAAATGTTATTCATAGTGTGTAATTGAAACGAGTCAGGTCAGTGTTGAAGATTGAAAATATCAAATAAAAAATGATTGCATTGTAAATTACACATTTGTCTAAACCTTCAAACTTGAAATATTTATATTGCTTGATAACTTGGCAATAACTCTTTATGTACTTAAAAGAAATACATGTATGCATAGAATTGTGATTATAATTTTTTGAAGGAAGTGAAGGTGAGTTTTATTTCATTTTGTGAAGCGATCTCATAAAGAGCGTAAAGGGGCTTGATATGCCCTTAACACCCTTTATGAAATCATTTCACAAAAAATTTATAGAGGAGAGGAAACATTATCAGTATTATGTTATTTTATATGCTTTTTGACTTTGACCATAACCTTAATGTGGTGTGGTGTAAAATTGTTCAACTCTCACAATCAATATGAAGTATGACAGTAGACTAAATACATATGCATGTTTAAACTTGCGGTGTTAATCATTTAAAGGAAGTAGAAGTAAATTTTATCAATCTCTATCATTTGCTATGAGGTGATTTTGTGAAGCCCATGGAATGAATTTTATGTTCTATAATAAACAAAGTCATGTCAGGGTAGTAATCAAAGTCATGTCAGGGTAATAAACAAAGTCATGTCAGGTTTATTACCCTGACGTGATGTTATCTATTACCTTACTATGAGGGTATGGTCACTTTCATCTTTTCTTCCCTGAAAGAAGGCTGATACTTGCAGTCTGTTACCAGCACAAATGTCTACTGGAACATCTTTTAATGAATTGATTACATGCATTCTGTATTCCAGGTATCTAAACACATACAAGAAATATCAGGACTTGCTTAACAACAAAGCTGACACAGAGATTAACACTTTCATTCAAGATGAGCCAGTTTTGTTGGCTTTATCCAAGGTACTAAGTTTGTAGTTGTTTGTAGTTAACAACAAGATGTATGTACATGAGCATATTTATACTCATGGTCAATGAATAATAAGTCTTGTGCTTACCACTGCTAAGTTAATCACTTTCTTTTCTGTATCCAAGAGAAGTTGCTGCTACAATTAAATGAGTGGCATAATTTTAGGTTTTGGCACATTGTGGCAAGGGGAAACATTTCATATGCAAAATTGAAGAACACATTACAGTATGGAATTCTGTGCAGGGAAATTTAGCATTTTGGGAACTCTTATTGGCACATTAAAGAAAAATTGTTGTGAATGCTGATTGTAACAGGTAGAGGAAGTTTAACATTTTGTGAGATCTTATCGACACAATAAAGAAAAAATGGTGTGAATGCTGATCATAATAGGTAGAGGAAATCTAGCATTATGTGAGCTCAGAAATGACACATTCAAATAAAAATTTTGTGAATGCTGATTGCAACGAAACAGGCTGAGTTTAAAATTACTGACGTTGCTAAAATTGTCACCACGTCCTCTTTCCTGATCCACATCAGTGGCGACTACATCTACACATGAACAAAAATGTTTTGTCATTTTTGTATGTCACCACAATGAATAAAAAAAATCTTTTTTTTTTTTTTTTGCAGAAAATTGATTCCTACCTGAACCTGTCCAAGGAGATCGCCTCCTTACATATTACTGTTCCTCTAAATATGCTCTGTTTGAATTGTGATGATGTCAACCAGGAACTATCTGCCCGTGCTGCACGACTGGCTGACAGAATGATACAGTATGTTGTGGATCAGAACAGGGACAAAAATAGAGGGTATGAACTTAATTCAGTTCCTTTTACCTTTCCTATTCAAATTAGGGCTGCGATCTAAGCTGGAACTTGTGTGTTCGCACGAGTTGCCAGTTTAGCGGCTTGTGTAGGGCTGTTAAGTTACAGGATGTATTATTTTTACGGTTTACTTTTTTATAGTCTGGAGTCAAAAAGAGATTAACATTTTCATAAAATATCACTCGTGCTTAATTGTATTATTGCACGAAGCGTTTTTTTCTGCGATACAAATTTTACTTCTGGTGACTACTTTATGATCATTTAGATCACCGAAAAAATTTGAGCGTGGAGCGATAAAGAGTACGTCAAAGAGTCGCTAATGTGTTGATGATTTGGTTTTTGAACATGCTAGCTACGTGTATTGCTCAAATAGAATTGCGAAATGCGGATCATTGTACACGGGAAGAGCCATTAGATTTTTAAGATGAAATTTTACATTTTCGTAGTTTATAGTAATCGGTAGCAGAGAGTTTTTCATCCTCTCTTGCAAGTAGTACATGTACAGTATTGCATTGTAAGTAGCCATGATTAAAGTGATGTTGATATTTGCCGTAGCTGGCCAAGTATTGTAGGCCTTCGGACTTGATGGTTGACGTAGGCCTCTTTATGTACAGGTTGTGTAAATCGTATGATGAGATATCAGACAAGGTGCAGGAGATGCCAGATAACACAAGTGACTTGGTAGCACTGACCCAGTTCTTGGAGAATGCCAGTTCTGTTACTGTCGTCAACTTACAGACTGCTGTTGATGAGGCTGGAGAGAGGCTGCTGTTTTTACTTGATTATGCAACACTTCCATGTATGTTCAAATTCTTTTCATTTATTTTTTTTAGACACTTCCAAAAAGGGTGGGTGCTGGTCAGAGTAATACTAAAGAAACTTGTCGGTGATTGTGTTTTGACCGTGGTGAAGAGCAATGCTTAGTTTGGGCAATTTCATGAAGATCAGATGAAGTTGTAAAGTTTTATTTGAGGCGTACGATGGTTGGACTATTATTTTTTTCATTGTTATGTCGTGATGATTGTACTCTGTTTTCAACTACAGACGAAGACCTAAAACTGAACAGCACTGTATTTCACTGGCCCGAACATATTCAGAAAATCTTTGAACTCAGCAAAAACCGAATAGGACACAGGAAGGATCTGGCTATGGATGAAGTCAAAAGAAAGTGAGTTTTGTCTCTCTCTTTGGTTAGTTGTTTTGAAAATTATTCGACGCGTAATGTTGTTTAAGACCATATCCCGCAGTGTGGGTACAATTTTTTTGGGAAACACTCAACAATATTTCTCTATGTTTGGCTACCATATCTGACGAAGGTCTATCACTCGAAACATCAGCTTTGGAAAATCTTTACAGTGGCCAATTTACGTTAGTAACTCAGTTAATAACACCAAATTACCTTGTAGTACCCTCACTGACGCAGCACCACAGTTTCTTTAGAAACTCGTCCCCTTTTTCATCTCAGGTGTCTGGAGTAAAAGACATGTTACTCAGATAATGAACTCTACAATATTAGGTGATTTCTAAGCGGCTAATTGATGAAACTCAGCAATGACTAAAAGTTTACTTATTGGATGTTATGCAAACTGTACATTAAATATCGAAAGACAGTTGAAATAATATATTTTTCATTATGAAACTTTACCCGTAAGCATTGTGAAACTCTTTTCACTTACGATGTTCGTGAAATAATCTGTTATTGCATATGCGTGTTACATGTGAACCGTAAGTATAAGGTGATATAAAGTGTCATTATTATCACTGTGGCTGTACAACACGATTAACGTTGGCAAAAGATATCATCTTTCTCTATTTCTTTACCGAGCTCAAAACTTTCCATCTCTCTTATTCTATTTGACGCTATCGACATTGCTGATTCTAGCAGTATGCAGGACGCCTGTCATATGAACTTCATAATAGACCTCGCTCACCATAGAGTCTCTGTGGCTCAGTGATAGAGCATCGGTGCACAGAATCCGAAGGTCTGAGGTTCGATTCCTCATGTGGACTCAGAATTTTTTCTTAGTCCCCCGCTTGTGACAAGACGAAAAACATCTTTCTCGATATCACAAATTGCTCACACAAAAAAAAATTGTAAAGCATGTTCAAGCGCATATTAAAAAATCCCTCATATGTTCTCTATGCAGAGTCAAGGCGTTTGAAGAGAAACTCAATGGATACAACAAAGAAGTCGAAGCCTTTAGGAAGAAAGAGGCAAGCTTTAACTTTTTAACATCAAACTCATTATAAATATATTAAACTATTACAAGTTTCTTTTTAAATTTTACTCATATGATGGGCACACACCTGAGAGTGGTGAGATACAATGTTACTGTGACTTTTCTCTGTGTTTAGCCCTGCGCAAAATGATAGTGAATTTATTTATTTTTTCTGTCTTTAGATCATGGCAGCTGATGAGATGAAAAAGAACGTTGAGAAGCTCGATGAACTAGAGGAGTCACTGAAAAAAGCGCAGGAGGAATTGATTGTACGTTTTGTTCCCTTGTTTACATCTGTGTACGAAACGAATGACCATAATCTGTTTTGTTTAATTGGGTAGAAAGGTGAACCCTTGTATACATGTATCCCGAAAGTACATCCCGATTTAACCCCTTTACACCCTTGCGTCAGTGTGCATATTTTCCATACTGTTTTCTCCACATTTCCTTACATGCTGACAAGGAAAATTTGTTTAACAATCAAGAGCTTCTCTAATTGGAAATCATTTCCTTTATTTTCATGACCTTAATATTTGATTTAGGGCGATAAAAGGGAGAAATTAGATGCCAGTCACTCTTTGGGGACTGAAAGGACTCATGCGGTTGGTTACATTTCGGGGCGATTGGAGAAATGTGTCAAAGTCAGTAGTGGGACTTCAGAAATCTCTCAAAGGATAGGGTTTATCATTAGTTGGAGGAATGACTGTGTTACTCGGTTTTACAGAGAGTCAGTAACAGTAAATATACCAAATCTACTCATGTTAGATGTCTAGAACTAACATGCCTATTATTTGATTTTTTAAAGCAATTAAATACTGAAGAAGAATTACTGGAATTTGAGGCCACACAGTTCCCAATACTTCAAGCTATGATTGCATACAAAGAACCGTACGAAAAACTGTGGAGGACAACGCTGTCTTTCCACAACAAGAACGAGGCTTGGCTCAATGGTAACAATGTGTTTTTATATTATTTGATGGATATTCTCGTTAAAACAAGTGGCAGAAACCGAGGTGCTTCTTTGTTTAGAATCAGTTTAAGGCCAGTAGACGCTTAAGTTGCGGTTTGAATGTCGGAAGTTATCCAGGATTGTACCTTTTCGCTTTTCGATGCTCTCTGATTGGCCAACGAAACTTGCGCCACCTTCGCAACCAATCAAATTCAAAGCTCACGCGCGTGCTACGACTTTTTCACCCGCCTATTCCTTTGTTCTGATTGACTGGTTTGATCGGTTTGGTATTCTGTATGACAACCATTAAATTGAAAAGTGCAAGCAGTTTCGCGCTCTTTTAGCGTATGCTTGTACTTCATGGTCCCATTGGCTCCTTTGGGTGTCAAGCTTCGCTCTGATTGGTTGTTTTATTACGCCAGGTTTGGTTGTTGAACACGAACAGCGCTAGCATTTTGCCGCACTTTTCAGCTTGTACTTCGTGTCCTCATTGGCTCCTTGTGGTATAAAGGTGTTCTCTGATTGGCTGTTAGAATTCTTCTAAGCTTTGTTTCTGGATACACGAAAAGCACTTTGTACAAGGCTATGACATTGATGTTTTTGTTTTGTTTTTGCTTTAAAGGTCCATTTACGGACATAAATGCAGAGGAGGTTGAGGAGGAAATTGGTGGCATGTACAGAACAGTATTGAAACTGACCAAGACATTTAGTGATGCCCCAGGCCCCAGACGAGTGGCTGATAGTGTCAAAAGTAAGGTGGACAAGTTTAAAGTTCACATTCCACTGTTGCAGATCATTTGTAATCCTGGATTGAGAGAACGACACTGGGAACAGGTACCTGAGTTTTTTCTTAAATTCGTGGCAATAACGTAGCAAGATAAGTTTGGGTAATAAGTTTGCCTCTCGGCGTGTAGCTTCCTTTCATGTCAGCGGGAAAGGAAGGGAACACACCGTGTAATTCTTGTTTGTTACTTGAGCTTATAAAAATTGTGAGCAGTGTTAGGTGGACTTATAAACTCACGGCTTATGCGCCAACAATTTGAGCTGATGAGAAATCAATTTCAGACAAGAAGCATCAAGTTTGCACAAACATTTTATCTGCTACCTTCTCTGAATTGAGCGTAAGTTTAAAAGGCATTTAAAACAGTAGGACGCCGGTACAGAAACTGGAGTAAACCTGCATCTTCACGGTTTGTCCCAACGTGGGATTTTGTACCAGTTTTAAGTGTACGAACATAAAACAAAATAAGTGAATTGGAGTCACCTGGTAGTAATATGAAGGTCTCTTATTCGCATAAGTACCCTTTCAACAGCCTCTTAGATTTCTGTGTAGCTCCTAATGAGATATAACGTTGTTTTTTCAGATGAGTGAAGTTGTCGGGTTTGACATCAAACCTGAGCCAACGACCTCCCTCTGTAATATGCTGGAATACAATCTTCACAAGTTCACTGAAAAGTAAGGATGTCTGTATTAGTGGTCTATTTGCCTGCCTAGTTGTGAGAGTCGTTTAAGAATGGCACTTCACGAGCTTACATTGTACCTACTTATGTTGAACTTTGTTAGTATTAACTTGTCTCGTACATAAATTTCATGTATATTCATACACGGTATTCTTGTTACTTGATGGTTCAAGCTTTAGAGCAATTTTAAATCGATTGTTAACAGTAATTCGGGATTGCAATCGTTTTAGTTCTGAGATTGGGCTTAAAAAGTCCAACGATACGCGTAGCCTTTCAAAGGCAAAACTAAAATCAATCGAAACTCGTCCCAGGCCGCCAACGTATTTCTCATAGGCTCTTTAAAATATTTTCTTTGTTTTGATTGGCCTTTTTGATGCCTTTATTTTACTTTTACGACATCATCGGAAAGCACTCTATCATGAGTTCCGACATTGTTTTAACCTTTTGACCCCCTAGAGTGACCATCATCTAATTTCTCCTTACAGTAACTGCAGGGCGTGAAATTGCGCCTAATACAGGCGCCAATGCGACTTAATTTTTCACTTTGGCGACCAAATTCTGAAAATTAGTTGCCAAATTGGCGACTTGAATGTTTCATCATAACCTTACTAAGAGATATAGTGAATTAAAAAAGATTTGCAAAGATAAATCCGCGGCAAACTTCCCCGTTAAGTTTGCTTCCAAAACGCCGCACTTGAAACTCGATCGCCATCTTGGATTTAGGTGAGCTTGAGCGTTGCATATCATCCATCCTAATGTCCACTTTGTAGTGCGTTAAAGATCTTTTCCCCAACCTAATTTTGGAGGGTCTATCTAGAACACTAGCAGCGTAAAAAAGGGTTTTGTCTGTCTTTGAAAATGGCGACCAACTTTTTTTTAAATTGGCTACCACTTTGAAGAATTTAGGAGCCAAGTGGCTATCAGAGAAAAAAAAGTTAATTTCACGCCCTGCAGTAACCCCCCTGAATCACTCAGTAAGGTCCCGAGAATAAAGGAAATAATCAGCAACTAAAGAAGCTCTTGATTGTTTGACAAATTCTCCTTGTTATCACCGTAGGGAATGTACAGAGAACAGTATGGAGAATATGCATATTGTAAAAGGTTAAACTGTGATACTTAATCGTGTTGACTTGTTCTTCTACAGACTTGATGAGATAAGTGGTGCGGCCAGCAAGGAGTTTGGTCTGGAGAAGGCCATGGAGAAAATGAAGGTTGAATGGAAAGATATGTACTTTGAACTCATTCCCTACAGAGACACGGTGAGTTATTTTTAGCATTGATATTGTTCACATTTTCATTATCGTCGTCGTCCTCCTCCTCCTCATCGTCATCGTTAACATCCTTCTTATTATCGAGATCATCATCGTCACTAGCATCATCCTTATCATCCTTTTATTTCTCTACTTCCTCCTTACTTCTTACTTTTGACGACATTTTCTGACTGTGAATGTATGAAAATCATTTATGTGAACTGCAGATAAAGAAGTGAACTTTGCAGTCATGAACACTACTTGAGCAGTAGTGAAAATAAGGCCTGAAAAAATCTCAGGCCTGTACGGTATCGTAGAGGTCATGGGTTCAAATCCTGTACAGGCCTGAATTTTTTTCAGGCCTTATTTTCACTGCTGCTTACGTAGTGTTCATTACTACGAAGATCGCTTTCATATTCACGACGTTTTCTGTTGGTCTCTTGTTATCTCTTTCTTCATCCACATCGTTCTTGTCTTTTTCGTAATACTATTATACAGACTTGAGGCTACGTTCAAGTGCAAACTTGAACGGTAAGATGTACGTCTTGGTTGTTTAATTTTGTTCAAAACAAGAAGTGTATCCTACAGAATATTTTGAAAAATATGTCCTCTTCACAACGCCATTGCGTGAGCTATTGTATTGTTGCATGCACAACTGATAGCCGTTTGAGTTAAGGTAGTTTTAATCTCTAAATTTCCATATCATTTACAGCTGCTCGTGCATTCTTCATAGTTTTTCTCATTCTTGTATTGAGCAAATTATTGATGTTTTATTAATGACTTGAAGTCAGGCAGTGATATTTCAAATAACCATTTGGATATTTTTCTCCACAGGGTGTGTCAATCCTGTCCGCTGTGGATGATATTCAGCTGTTGCTTGATGATCATATTGTCAAAGCACAGACCATGAGTGGTTCTCCGTTTATTAAACCTTTTGAGGCAGACATTAAGGTTTGTTAATTTATAGGCAACTTTATAGACACATCTGTTCCTTCAATATTGTGAACATACTTACTGGACATTGAAATGATATTGGAGGAGTCTGCTGAGTTGATAAAAGACTAGATCGTGTTGATCGCGAGTGCAATTTGTAGTCTTTACAGGTGCTTATTTACACCAAATTGCACTCGAAATCATGTAATTACTTGTTAATAATTTTCATGAAAAACAAATGACAGAATGTCAAGAGAGACGAAATTTTGACAGCGCGCGCGCTTTTTGTAATTTACACTTGCGTTACAACTTTGCATTCGTGTACATGAAAAATGCACTCGTTTTCAGCCAATCAGACGCTTGTAATTTTTCCATATACATTATAAGAATCTAAAGGTGTACCAAGTTTGACAAATGCTGTAAAGGGGAGGAGAGAGGGAACAGGAAGACTGAAATTGGTGGGAGTCAAGATGACCGAGGGTGTATGTCACATGTACTTCGATGCTTGTCGAAATTATATGATCTCTCATTTTACACGAGATTTTTGATGCCCGAAAGAATCTGTTCTATGAAGTCAGTCCTGAGCGTAATTGTTGCTCGTTGGCTTTTAGGAATGGTGCGAAAGGCTCATTGAAATGCAAGATATCATTGATGCATGGCTCAAGGTTTGTTATTTTATTGATTGGGACTGTGCTTTATCAAAACATGGGTACCACAGACGACTACCTTTATCTTTTGACGACTTAGAGAACTTTTCTGTATCAGGGCTTTTTTGAACTGATCTCTCTAAATTTCTGAGACCAAAGTTGTCTGGTAGCCGGTTCTTTTTCTTAGAGCCTAGCTTGGATGGATGTCACACAAATTTTAGTATGGTAGTTCTAGAGACTCTTGATCAAATGGCCAGACTTTAAGAACCGGTGTATAACGGAATGTATTGTAAACTGTGGAGGAGTTACTTACAAGCCTATGGCGACACCTTTACGGTTATTTGGTACTGTGATCACGAACGCAAAATGATTATTAAAAGTGATTTTTACAAGAAGTTTTTACTCGAAATTGTTGATGTGAGATTTTTATAACGAAAGATCTTTCAACTTTTTCAAAGCTTTGTCCAACGTTTTCTTCAGTTGTTGTCACCATTTTTATAAGATTTTACAGGGAATATTTTCAGCTGCAATAGGTGCGTTTTGGAGGGGTTTAACCCTATCGATAAATATGAAACAACACTTACGAGTTTAAGAGAAAGTGACAATGCGGAAAGTCCACTAAAAAAGCGTTGAACTGAATTGTGATTTACAAAGGTACTTGTCAGGCTGACCCTTTTGTGTCGTTTGAATAAACATCCTTGATATCCTTGTGGATATGTTTATTCTAGTGTCAGGCCACATGGTTGTACCTGGAACCGATTTTTAGCTCAGAGGATATCATGGCACAGATGCCCGAGGAGGGAAGAAAGTTTGGAATTGTAGACAGCTACTGGAAAGACATCATGAGTGAAGCGGTGAGTTAGTGTGTTTTAACTATTAAAACTGATATATTTTCTAAGAAATAGTCTTTCCTAGATATGGTTTGAAGCTTCCCCTTTGTAGCTTTTCTCAGTTTCGGAGAGCAGTTGTCGGTTAAGTGTGAAAATTAATCCTGGATTGCATTCATTTTGCTTGCTTCTTGTTCTTAGCCTGGAGAACTTAGGTCACCTCTGCTAATCAGATGCAAAATTTAAACTAATCGCGACTTGGTCACTCGCCGGCTTTTCGCGCGCATCAAGCAATTTGCATATTTTCAGTTTCGGTGTTCATTGTTACTTGCTTTTGTTGTGACTGACCGCTTATATTTCATCGGTCAGTGCTTTGGGACTCCTAATCAAAGTGTGCTTTCTTGTGAAGTTTTGTTCAGGTATTAAGAGAGTAAAGTATCATTGGAATAATTGGGTTTCATGGTGGCACTGATATGGCACGTTTTTTTACCAGGGAAAAGACACACAAGTGCTTGTGGCTACGGCTCAGCCTAACATGTTGGGAAGACTGAACGAGGCTAATCAACTGCTTGAGGAGATTCAGAAGGGTCTTAATGCCTATCTGGAGAAGAAACAGCTCTTCTTTCCGAGGTAAAATAACGATTAAACGATCAGCTAATTCATTTTGCTAGCAGCGTGGAACAGAAAAATAATCTAAGTCGTCTTGAGAAATCGAACCACTGAACCTCGATACTGGTTAATTTTAAATTTGTTTTAATTGTTTGCTAGGTTTTTCTTCCTATCAAATGACGAGTTGTTGGAGATCTTGTCAGAAACCAAAGATCCTCTACGAGTACAGCCGCATCTGAAGAAATGTTTCGAGGGAATAGCAAGACTTGAGTTCACAGAGGATCAGGAAGTGGTGGGAATGATCAGCGCCGAGAATGAAACTGTTCCCTTCTCCACTAAAATCATCCCAGCCAAAGCTAAGGTATATGGTTACGGATCAGTATCAGTATTTCAGCAACTGCCCACCTACCCCTCCCTTAACCCAAGATAATCCTAACTTGTTATCGGTTGACTGTTTTTTGAGTTAGGGGAGGGGCAGTTGCGCAAATGCTCAGATACCGACTTTGATCCATTGGTTACTTCTGTACATCCAAAAATTTCCAGTGTCATCGTAGTTATCTCGGTCATGGGGTAGTTGAGTTGTAATTTCCTTAACAATAGCTGAAAAAGTGAATAAGACGTCGAACAGTTCAGAAGTGAATTCTAAAATACATTTTTCAAAATATGCAAAATTGGAAAAGTTTATCGAAGAATAATTTGAAATAGCTTTCACTTCGTAGGTGCTACATCTAAAAACTCAATACTTAGTACCAACTATTTCACGGGAATGATTCTTGATACTACTTAAACTTTTCACTCACATTTCACGCCTTCATTCTATCTGTCAGTGTTTCATCTACGAATGCCTTGTCGAGTTTAATTAGGAGAATCACTGAGAAGTGCTAATCAATAGATTTCTTACGGATAGTCACGCACTAGAAGCTTTTCTTAAATGTATGATTCGGCTAGAATCTCAGTGATAATTTAATGTTTAGAATTCCCATAGATCGGATCTTTTTAAGGGCTAGTTTGTAGAAAGCAGAATTATGTATGACGTTTTGCACATACCTTACTAACTTCTCGCTGCTTTGTAACTGTAAATGCATATTTGGGTGTTATCAAGATGATTCAAAGTGCTGTTGTTATCTTTTTATAGGGAATGGTAGAGAAGTGGCTGATTCAAGTTGAAGAAGTCATGATCAACAGTCTCAAGAAAGTTACAGAAGATGCAGTAAATGCCTATAACCAGACTCCCCGGGGCAAGTGGGTCCAAGAGTGGCCTGGGCAGGTAAGACAGCGTAGAGTTAATTTCACCCACTGGAAAATTTTCCAGGCTTTTTTTTCTTTTCTAAGTTAACTAAGTTTTGTTAACAAATTTTCCCCTCTGTTTGGAATTTGAGATATTTAAGATTTAACTGAAACAAATAGCAGTGCATTTTCGTTTGATTCAACTAACTTTGTCGTACAATGAAAATTACATATTGTTTAATTTGTCTTGATCGCATTGACCGTAAATCTAAGAGGTTAAGTGGTTTGGGCTACTTTCGAGAAGATGTGTACAAATGAAAAGTGTAACAATTTATGGATGTACTTGAATTTTGATTTCCTTAGATAATTTTGGCTTGTAGCGGTATATTTTGGACTTCCGAAGTTTCACAAGCCCTACTGGAGAAAGATGGCTTAAAGGTAATGCGCGATTTTGAACTGCGCACTAAGAGGCACCATTTTCTAGTGGTACACTTACCCTTTTGTGGATTAATATCAATTATACTCCTCAGCTTTAACCCGAACTTCAGCTGAAACTGCTTTCTATTTTTATAATCCGCGCAGCAGATACCATGACCTTCTACCGTCGTTGATTCAGCTGTATGTGTATCTTTTCAGAATTACCTTGCCAAGTCTAATTCTCAGATCGAGACCATTGTTGCCCTTGTCCGAGGGAAACTGGATTCTGGTATCAGGATCACGCTTGGCGCACTCACTGTAATTGACGTGCATGGTAAGAAATTCAGTTATCTGTTTCTGCTGGTGGGAAATTTAAGACTAAACGGATCCTTATTCCATTTTACCTCATCGTCAAGCATTCTTGTTTTGTATTGATTATGCCAACTTACCAAACTTTTTCATGAGGTTTCCTTCTTTCGAAAAAGGTAATATGAGTAGTACAAGGGGACACCATGGCACACAACCAATCAGAGAAGTGTAGTTTTTACCACGAGATGTATAATCCTCTTCTTTGATTGGTTGTGTACCACAGTGCCCCCTTTTTCTACTTATCTGAATTTTGCCGTCCCAAAAATGACAATAACTTGGTAATAGTAACGTCATTGGTCAACAAACTAGTAAAGATGACATCGCTCTTTACTAAGCTTATCTCTGATTGGTTTACATTGCGGGCGGAGGGGGGGGGGGGCGGCTCTAGAGATGATCTGTGCTGTAACTTGCTATCCAATTATTAATTACTGATTCACATCATCAGCTCGTGATGTGGTGGCAAAGATGTACAAAGATGGAGTCAACAGTATAAATGATTTCCAATGGCTGTCACAGCTCAGATATTACTTTGAGGAAAAGAAGACCATAGTGCGAATGATAACAACCAGTATTGACTATGGATATGAATACCTTGGTAACAGTGGTCGTTTGGTGATCACACCTCTCACCGACAGATGTTACAGGTACGTTATGACCTAAGTTTGGTTTTTGATGTTGTCTCCAGTGGTAAAATCCTGAAATTTCTGGAAAAAAAAACATATTCTGTCGAGTAGTTTCGAAGAGGGGACCCAGATTTCCTTCTGTCTTCTCTTGATTCGGTGCTAAACAAATTATGTGCTTTGGTTCACAGAACTCTGATGGGCGCCATTAAACTCAATCTTGGTGGCGCTCCCGAGGGGCCTGCCGGGACAGGTAAAACAGAAACCTGTAAAGATCTGGCTAAGGCTGTTGCCAAACAGGTTTGTTAGTTTGTTTGTTTTTCTGCATAGCATACATTTTCAAATGTCAATGGTTTATCATTACGTTGCAATTTTTTTTCTTATTTTAAGTGCGTGGTTTTCAACTGTTCCGACGGCCTCGACTACAAAGCCATGGGTAAATTCTTCAAAGGATTAGCGCAGGCGGGGTGCTGGGCCTGTTTTGACGAATTCAATAGAATCGAACTTGAGGTGAGCTTATCTCTTCTATCGATTATAACCTGGAAATACTTCTAGTCTTGAAAAATCTTCCTCAGCCGACCTGCCTTATCCTTTTTGTTTGTTTATTTGTTTGTTTGTTTGTATTTTGTGGCATTGTAATAGTTTGCGATGTTGCAGGTCCTTAGGGTTAGGGTTTTTTTATTTAGAATTTTTTATTTCCAAGTAACGACCTTGGGGAGCAGCCGTAGGACAATCTAAGTTTAATTTACGTAGGATCAGCCATCTCTTCTAAATGTTACGTAAATCTGCTTGTAGACGACAAGCTCAGTTCTTGTTAATTTTATAGCTTGTCACATAGCTCTCTCAACCCTGTGACCTCTAAGAGTGACTGGCATGTAATTTCTCCTTACAGTATCAGCCTTGAGCCAAAAATTAAGGTCACGACAATAAAGGAAATGATTATCAACTAAAGAAGCTTTTGATTGTGAAACGAATTCTCCTTTTCAGCACCTTAGGAAATGCATAGAGAACAGTATGGAGAATATACATATTGATCATAGGGTGTAAAGGGTTAATGCGACGTGTTTTTCGACAGGTGTTGTCTGTAGTAGCGCAACAGATTCACACGATTCAGAAAGCTATCGCAGACAGAAAGGCGAAGTTTATCTTTGAGGGAACCGAACTTGTGCTCAACCCAACTTGCACAATGTTTATCACGATGAACCCTGGCTATGCAGGGCGACAGGAGCTGCCCGATAACCTCAAGGTACCTTGTCTTCGAGCTCGTGAGCTTTTTAATTGTTAAAGTGACTTTCACTCTCCTTCTCGGCCACGATTTGTGACGTTGTGCAACGCTCAAGCTGGAACAGCGTTGCATGACATTCTGAAGAACAGTACCGGTCACGGATACTCTCTCCATTATTGTGACTGACGTTAGTGGCATATGTTGGACTGCGCATGTACAATACCCTTTTGTTTTCGCCCTTAGGTGGTGATTTACAAAATGTTCTGGCGTTCTCTCAACAGCCCATCTGTGCGATAAAATGATAGTGTGTTCTCTTGATTTTCTAGAATAGCTATGGGTTTGCTGTTACGATAATCGATCGGTTTTGAACCAATGGGAGTGACTGCACTATTTCTATTATTTTTATGGGTTATCAATCAACGTCATCTTTTCCTCAGGTTCTTTTCCGCACCGTGGCGATGATGGTTCCTGATTATGCATTAATCAGTGAAATCTCTCTCTATTCCATGGGATTCTTGGACGCACGAAGGTAAAGCATTCTCTTCTGCTCATGTACACTCCGTGACATATTATATGATTCCTTATCATTATTGTAATACGTGGGGTGATGTACCATTGCTTCAAGTGAGGCCCCAAAATTCTCAATTTGATCGATTAATCTTCCAACCATTCGTCGATCCACTACATCAGCCTGCAATGTGCCGAGGAGGGCATTGAAGATAAGTTGATCAAACACAGTTGTAAATGCCCTTCCTAAAATAAGAGTATCTCGTCCAACATTATAATTATTGCAAGTATATGACCTTAGTTCAATCTCAAGAAATACTGGAAATTGCTAGTCCTTTGTAGCTTGTCTTTAGGGGGTCTATTTAACGAAACAAATGCAAATATAGGAAGATGTCAAGAATTCGTATGAAATAACGGAGAGACTATGCCTGGAACAAAGTTAGAGAGAGGTGACTGGTTTTGAAAGTCGCTAATGATTGGTTATAGTCAGGGAAACACAGTTTCGCTGCAGTTTATGTCGGGAGTTCTCTTTTAATTAGCTTTTGTGCTCATTTATAGTGACAGACTAAATCAGTAGGATCTTTCTATTGGTCAGTTGGTTTGACTTGACTGGAACGTTAGCGTTTGCCCTCTCTTCCGCCAGTCAAAAATACGATTGAAGTCAGAGACGCCATTTGTTAATTTATCGTTTGGCTGTTTCTGAAGTAGATTGTGTTTTGCTGTTTCTTAGTTTGGCACAGAAGATTGTAGCTACGTATCAGTTGTGTTCAGAGCAGCTCTCGTCGCAGTCTCATTACGACTATGGCATGAGGGCTGTCAAGTCTGTCCTTACTGCTGCTGGGAATCTCAAGCTTCGTTATCCAGACGATGATGAAGCGGAGCTTATGTTAAGAGCTGTATTGGAGGTCAATCTTGCCAAGTTCTTGGCACAGGTATACTTTCTTGTTGTTTGATTATCATTGCTTTTACTTGGCAATTTGGTAAGCCATGTTCTTTGGTATTGGTCTTGGTTTGGGAGTCAGTCGTTAGAGACTCCATATTCGAGAGCTTCACCTTTTGTATTGCAGGATGTGCCTTTGTTCGAAGGAATCATCTCGGACTTGTTTCCCGGCACCAGTTGGCCCAACCCTGACTACGGAGTGCTGATGGACGCTCTCAGAGAAAACTGCAAGATTCGTAATTTACAGGCGACAAAGTGGTTCCTTAAGAAAATCATTCAAGTATGTTTTAGATAGTGAGCTGATTGTTGTACACTCAGCTATTTTCAGTGAATTGTCAACTTTCCAATAATTAATTGCACTCTAAAAGGTGATCATTTTGATCTAAGCTGTACATACCTTTTTTTTCTAGGTTTACGAGATGATGATTGTCAGACATGGTTTTATGATAGTTGGAGATCCGCTCGGAGGGAAGACAATGGCGTTCAAGGTAAGTAGTAAGCGTGACTCCAGGTTTCGTAGTTCTGGACACACTTTAAGCCCGAACCACCTCTTCAATTTCAGTGCCAACTTGTCACAGTGTAGTGATGGTTGATAATGTAAGAGGTGATCACATATGATGTTTCTCTAGGTGCTGTCTGATGCAATGTCAGATCTCAAAAAAGCAGGATATCCGTATCAAAAGGTAAGCCCCAATAACATTAAGATAGCTTAGTCCAGCTTTTTCGTTAAGCCTGGTAATGTTTATGGTAGACATGTTAAGATGGCCAGATTGTTTATGGCTTTAATTTGTTTCCGTTTAAATGGGAACGTTTGTCACCAAAGTTTTCTTTTCCCGTATCATTACCTACAGGTGATTTACAAGATCATAAATCCCAAGTCCATTAGCATGGGTGAGTTGTATGGCTGCTTTGACCCAGTCTCCCACGAGTGGTCAGATGGTGTCCTAGCGAACTCTTTTAGAGAGCATGCGTCGTCCACCACAGAGGACAGGAAATGGTTGATCTTTGATGGGCCTGTAGATGCTGTTTGGATCGAGAACATGAACACTGTGTTGGACGACAACAAGAAAGTACGTATCCAGATAAAGTTTACTCAACTTAAGGACGTTTTCAATTTAAATCACTCATGGTCTTCACTTTTCTCTGAAACATATAGCATGACACATAACTGGTAAAACTGTGTAGTGCTTTTCTGAAGGTTTTTGTTTAACGTCCACGTGAACAGAAAGTTGCGGTTTCTTCCTCAAGAGACGTTCGGTAAATCGATTCTGATGTTCCATCATCTTGAGTACTCTTACTGAATGCCACTATGCACAATTCGCATTATGCATGCGATTGCGCTTGAAGGAGTGGTGTCATATGGGTTGAAAGCTCCACTTTTCCTTCAATTTTACCCTTTGCCAATAGAATATCGACTAGTAAATTAAATCGTACGTAGACTTGATCGCCCTTTTTTTATTTCAAAAAAAGTAAGGCCACCATTCTTATTCATGTATTTTGAAAAATGGTTTCAAAATGGAACTTACGTTCTTCTCTCTCTTTTTGTCTCCAATAAAACTGTCCTAATAATAAAAATTGCTTGGCCTAAAGGTGAACATTTATATGGTTTTGTCATGCAAGCTCATACAGTCATGGCGGCGTTTTGTTTTCAGCTGTGTTTGATGAGTGGTGAAATAATTCAAATGAACAACAAACAGAGTTTGATATTTGAGCCTGCAGACCTGGAGCAAGCTTCTCCTGCTACAGTCAGTCGTTGTGGTATGATCTACCTTGAACCACACCAGGTAAGAATCGTGCAATTATAACTTTTATACAACTGATCTAGTGCTGAACTAATCGCAACGGCCAATCAGAGTAAAGGAAAGTACCTCAAAGAGCCAATGAGAACTCAGAGATGAAGCTAACAAACTACCCGTAGCGCGGGAAAACGCAAGCAACTAAGTCGCGATCGGATTTAGTTTAGCATATCATTAGCTGAGAGTAGGGCAAAAGTTTTCTTGACTATTAAAGCGAAACAAATGCTAACTTGGTTACTGAAGACACCCTGAAAAAGGCTCAAAACTAGCAAGATTTCGACGAAAGTTTAACCTAGAAAAGTTGTCATCCGTGCTGCGCAGTAGGACTATACGCCAATTCGTTCGAGACGAGTATATTGTTCAATTGATCACATTCTAGGATTTGAACAAGGAGACAAATTGTTCACAATGCATGGACCGCGAAAGTCCAAATTAATAAGGACACATAATTCGCGCTTATGAGGTCCATCCATTCGGGAAAAATGAAATGATCAAAATAAAAAGTCTTTTTCTACGATCATTTAAACAAGCTATCAAAAAAAAATGGTTGTTGTTTTCAAGGAAAAAACTTGTCAAGGCCAGCCCATGGTTATCTTAACCACTGTGGTCTTCCCTGTTTGTTTTTGTGGTTAATTAATTTTGTTAATTCCTTTATTTTATTAAGCTTGGTTGGGAACCACTGATGGATTCCTATATGAACACGCTTCCTAAGAGCTTGAACGCGGAGCATTTGGAAACCATCAGAGCCTTGTTCATGTGGCTTGTACAGCCATGTTTGTGTAAGTAGTGATGGCAACATTTAAAGCCGAATGCCCGAAACTTTTACACATAGCCATTCACTTCTGTGTTGGCCTGACCAAAGAATTTGGTGTGGCATGCAAACAGGAACACCCTAGTTGGTGATATTACTCATTCTTATTGTTTGTCAGCACGATAGTGTATTAGGATTGCAACGAGAATTTTTTACCGCTTCTATCCGAGATTTTCAAACTTATTTCAGACAGCAGTTTGACTTATCTCCTTCAAAGTTCACTTGTAACATCAAAAACCTTCATTCCTGTCTAACTTAAAAAAAAAAACGCCCCTATGCAAAAGAATCAAAATCATGTGCGTCCTTCGAGCAACCTGTTTTTATTTTCAGCCTTTCTCCGCCGTGAGTGTAAGTTTTTCATCAATACGTCCAACATGCATCTCGTGAATTCCTTTATGAATCTGTACACGTGTTTGTTGGATGAAATCGCCATGCAAGATCAAGCTGAAGGCGCTGACAGAATGTCAAGCTCACAGGTATGTATAATATGAACCGACACGATCCAAAAGTGTTATTATCCTAGTGACGCGATGTGAGTTAACTTGATTCGAGTCATGTTAAGTGACATTACACGCACAGACGTTTTGTCACGTGTACTGCAACCGTATGGAAACTACATATGTTTCTGGCGTGGCGCGCTGTGACAACTGGAAAGCCTTTGTTTCAGTACTTTATAGTAAGTGGGAGACCGGCGCTACCGCTGGCATTTTATACATAGCAATACGACGTGACAGTACACGACATCGCACGAGGGATTTCCGTCTGGCGGTAAAACCTTTGTTTGGCTTAAAGAGTTTGATGCGAAAATTTATTTTCGTGCGACTTGAAGCGGCTTTTTTTTGGCTTCTCTTTGAAGAACCTTTTATCCAGGATCATGCAGTTTATGATATATATTTTTTATTTATTTTCATGTTCTGTTTCATTTTTGTATAGATCACCAACTGGCTTCAGTGTCTGTTTATCTTTGCCCTGGTTTGGTCCATTGGTGGCACGATAAACGGCGACAGTCGCAAGAAGTTTGACGCATTTTTCAGATTGCTGATCAGCGGAACAGATAAAGATCACCCCAAACCCAACAACATCAAGATGACCAAGGTAACAGGACGGTTTTATTCTCGAGTATTGTACAAAACCAGG